CAATGGGCTTGGAAACGAGAAGTGTCACCCAAGCTTCCAGAGTCAGTCAGCAACATCGGCTTGACAGGTCCGGCAAGGCAGGCGGATAGCTCACCAGAGAGTGCCGTGGTTATTTTTGAGAACACACGAGGCCTCAGTCAGCATACTTCGGGCCCGAGTGACGTTTCAAGCAGAAACAGCAACTTGTGCCTCGCCAGACGACACAATATGATTTGATCAAAGACGATTGCTCGCTTCTCGGAGAATTTGAGAGGTTGTATCCCATCACAATACCCGGAAAACATGGGTCCAGCGCCGTCCTGGTCGGTACAGTGTTCCTTCCTGACGGGGATGCGACATCCTGGCTCGTGAGACGGCGGAACCTGCCGTCCGGAGACCCAACCGATTTGTCTTACCTAAGCGACACAACCTCATCTCTTTCCTTCTACCTTGCGTGGAGCATCGTCAAATTTTATTTACACTCAAGCCCCAACAGAACTCGATCATCTGTCCGTCCCAGAACCTCAAAAATCTGACTCACCCCCAGACAGTACGAGGATAAACCATGGCGGCCCAGTTCGAGAATCTCCCAGACGAGCTCAAGCTGGCCACAGCGGCTCACGTGAAGTACATCCAGAGCTTGGATACTCGCAAAGACGAGTACGACTACTGGCTGACGGAGCACCTGCGCCTGAACGGTCTCTACTGGGGCCTCACTGCGCTGCACCTTCTGGGCCACCCTGACGCGCTTCCCCGCGCCGAGACCATAGACTTCGTTCTCTCATGCCAACACGAGAGCGGAGGCTTCGGGGCTGCGCCGGGCCACGATGCTCACATGCTGTATACAGTTAGTGCTGTACAGATCCTCGTCATGATTGACGCCTTGGATGAGCTGGAGGCGCGCGGCAAGGGGAAGGCGCAAGTGGGCAAGTGTGAGTGCTTGCCGCTTCTCGCTATTGATTGCGCATGAGATGCTGACATTGAGGGACAGTCATTGCAGATCTTCAGAACCGCGAAAGCGGAACTTTTGCAGGTGATGAATGGGGCGAGGAGGACACCCGCTTCCTCTACGGCGCGCTGAATGCTCTCTCGCTACTCGGTCTGCTTGATCGCGTGGACGTCGACAAGGCCGTCAAGCACATCGCCGCGTGTACCAACTTTGACGGCGGCTACGGCGTGAGTCCCGGCGCAGAGTCCCACTCGGGTCAGATCTTCACTTGTCTCGCGGCGCTCTCCATCGCAGGACGCCTGGATCTTGTGGAGAAGGACAAGCTAGGTCGGTGGTTGAGCGAGAGGCAAGTCGCGGCCGGCGGCCTCAATGGTAGGCCCGAGAAGGATGAGGACGTGTGCTACAGTTGGTGGGTGTTGAGCAGCTTGAGCATCATTGATCGCACACACTGGATCGACCGGCAGAAGCTCATCACCTTCATCCTCAAGTGCCAGGACACGGAGCTCGGCGGCATCTCAGATCGGCCGGGGAACATGGTGGACGTGTGGCATACCCTGTTCGGCCTTACGGGTCTCAGCCTGCTGGGATATCCGGGCATGGTGGAGGTCGACCCTGTGTATTGCATGCCGAGAGCGGTGACCGAAAAGGCGTTGGGAAAGAAGGCTTGGTGATGCTGGAAAAGCGACGGAAGCAGTTGCTCGGGGACGGAATATGCTCGCAATATTTACCTCTTGCCTTCTAATAACCTGCTAATTTCAACACGATGGTAGCAAGGATACATGGCGAGAGAAGAGCAAAAGTGTTGGCTTTTTTAGGGGCTTTCGTTTTGCCACATGCGATCTGCCCTGTGCTAGCCTTCAGACATATCTTACAGTAGGCTTCGATGGAGCCTATATCAGGGTCGATCCCGAAAAGCAATACAATAATATATCTTAATATCACTCATCGTCGCCATCCGGTATTTTCAAGCTCGTAAGGAAGGTTGAGAAATTCAAGTGCCTTCCAACCACTTGGGTGCCAAAGCTGGCGTCTCTGGTCTAGAATGTATCTCCCTACGTACTGCTCATCCGCTGTTTGTTGTTTGAGTGGCCAGGAGTTGGTTAGTCGAGTCTGATTGCACTCTCAGATGGAAGACTGCCACAACAGAGGAGCTGGGGTGGTGACTGAAGTAGGTAGTGGTGGTAGTAGTGGCCAAGGTTGTAAACACCAAAGTCCTTCCGATTACTTCATTTTCCCCCTTGGCTGAGAGTTCGTCCGTTGACTCTCCTTCCATTTGCAAAAGAAGTGGAGTAGTGGTAGTTGAAAACACCAAAGGCACCTCCATTACCTCAGGCGGCTCCCCACCAAGTGCCCTCCCTACCCCCTTTGTGAACACCTTCAGGACACCGATTGTGAATACTCAGGAACCAGGTGCATCAATACACAAGCTCATCAACTGTCACGTGCCTGGGGCTCAGGTGAGCTGCTTGAGGCCGGTCTTCGCACCCAACTAGCACGTCTCGCTCTTTTTTCCTGTCAACACCACTGGGAGAAAAAAACAACACCTCCTCCCCCCTCACCACTCTCCCCACTTACCACAACCACCAACCAACCTATCGTCACTCCTTTCTCCCCTCTTCTCAACAGCTGGAGAAGTCGTTAGAAAGACGATTTCTATCGCCTTTTCTCTCCTTCACATTCTCTACCTATCCTTTCCATCAGTTCAAGTACCTTACCTCTACAACTTGTCGCGATACCGTGCCGACCATCCCCCACTCCGACAAAAAGTCCTGTTCAAATACCTACCCTGTTGATATTTGATCACCAACACCAATCCGAGAAAAAAGACTCCCACGGGTCTTTCAGACCGAAAAAGAAGCCTACTGTCGAAATTCTCGTGCAGAGCGAAATCGCCTCACCCCCATATCACCGCCTGCTGGGTACCAGAGGTACGTGAAGACAGGCTTTGAAGTCTGGTTTTTTACTTTGTCCGCGCTTTCTGTGCGCTGTCTGTGGTCTTTTCTTTTTCGCTGGCTTTTTATATTTTTCTTGGGCCGATGTTGGTTCTTTCCTTGTGTTCTTTCTCATCTGGGCCTGGAATTTGGTCGGGTCATCGCAATTCATCTCATTGTCTGGGTGATGGGTCGACCCGAGTCAAAATCTTGCTTGGGATGGTTTTCCAGATTGCATCTGCTGCCATTGGATACCATCTGGTCTGGTGCTGGGATGTTCTTGGCACTATGAGTCCTGGCTGCGTGGTCTCTGGCTTTCTTTTTTCGTTGATTCGAATTCTACCCTGAAGTTCTCAGCAGCAGTTGCCCTTGAACACTCTGTTCTTGGTATATCGCCCAACTCGCCATCGAAAGACAAATGGCACCATGGAGTTCAAGACTTGGGGACTTGTGAACTTTGGTCTCAGTGGATCCATGGTTCACGAGTGCTTTGTATGGACAAACCACTGCCCATGACTTTAAGCACTTGGGCCCTTTGAACTTCACATGGACACTGTCTTCTTATGATCTCACGGGACATTGAGCAGATAGCCAGAGTGTTGCCATGGTGTCTGCGTCATCTTGATGCCTTCAAGCGTTCCCTAACTCTTGAGAAAGCAGGAGCCACCAACCCTGCGGCCCTGCTCTCGCCTCTTTTTGATATTCAGAAAGATGAGAGCTACCTCAGAAGGTGAATATGAGCGTGAGAGCATCGAGGGCAATTTCTGAAGTTTGCCCATAGATAAAAGGAGGGCCAGGAACCCTGATCTTCTCTTTTCTTCTCTCCTCTCTGCACCTGGCTTGGGAGTCTTCTTTTCCTTTTCCTTGCCACTATCACCACAATCGTTTTGATCACCAGAGAAAACAGTCTCACAATCTCCGCATATACTTACTAACCCTCGCAGGGTTGATTTGATACCTTCGACATATATCAGCGGCGCAATACCCAGAGCAGCGAGGTGCTCAACCGGAGTTTTTGATCAGATCCTGCTTACCGACAGACGGTACAGCCTCAACACGATATTAAGCTTTCCGCGAAGCAAACCGCCGAGGAAATCGCCTCAACACAGCCAATTCTAGCACGGCGTCAGAGAACGTCGCTTGCTACCTGCCTTTTGGCTTCCAGCTCTTGGTAAGTGCAGATCACCCCAAGAAGGAACGAAGATGAGGCGTACTTGAGCCCTGAGCGAGGTCCCAACGGTGGAGGCAGTCACGATACTGGAATTCCATTGCTAGCAATGGCAAATGGAATGCACGGTACTGGGAGCGCAAGACCAGAATTTTTCGAGGTGCCTGAGGACCTTATCTTTCTCGACGGCCATGGTCCAGTGGTGATCCAGTATCTGGTCCAGTCTCGAGATAGCGGATGGTCCCACTCCTGTCATGTGATGACTGGACAGCCGCCTGCCATTTCATCCAGGGCATCTGCCTCTCCTGCGTTTTCTAATGCAGGAGCCTTCGTCCCTTCCTTCGTCCTTGCTCTGGCTAGTATTCTTACTGACGGAAGCTTCATAAGCAGGAAAGAACCACCTCGGATACACGACCGACGACACTCCCTCCTTTCTTTCCTTCCTCGACCTCAAGTGCCGTCCCTTTCGGGAAATTGGAACGCACGCAGCTACTATGGACAGCTCGCTGCTTCTCTCTTTCCTGCAAAATGGCGCCCAGACGTCAAGCAGCTGTTGCTGCCCAGGCCGTGAGTACCACTTTCCCCTGAACTACACATCATCCAGAACTTCATCCCAAGATACCGTTCGTTCTGTCTGCCAACTTCCAAATTCCCACCATCCCGCGACAGCAATTGTCTATCTCGTCCCCTCCTCCCACATGTCCTGAGCTACTCAGTGTCATTACTTTGCTTTCTTTGCTCGGCTCTGCCTGTCCCGTGTCTTCGACATCTCGAAACACCAGTCGTTCTTTGCCCACTTGATGTCCACGACATCACAGGGAGGATTTCCTGCCTCTCGTTTTGCGTTTTGGTTACCCCAAGAAACTTACCCAATTCCCCACCACACTCGCTTCACCTGAAGCCGCTGCCAGTCAGTCACGACTGACCTCGGAAAACGCCTGAGATGCTTGCAATTACTGACTTTTATCAGAGTATGGCTGATATCGCAGCCCGCGAGATTGAGATCGACAACGATACCCCTGTCAAGCCTCCCAAGGCGCCCAAGGTTTCGAAGCCTGCAAAGGTTTCCAAGAAGGCTCAGCCGTCCCAAGTCAAGAACGTCGGCAAGGGTTCCAACGCGAAGGCAGCTGTCAAGAAGTCATCTGACGTCAAGTCTTCGGATGGTTCTTCTATCCCTCTGCTCTGCTGCATCTGCTCCAGCCACCCTCGCTTCTCTGACGTTTCTCACTTGTTGACCCACTTGAGCTCCAAGGGCCATCTTCACACCTTGAACACTACAAGACTCGAGTCCCATGCAGACCTCTCTGCCGCTGCGACCATTGCCACCTATGACACCTGGTATACCAAGCACAATCTCGAGCGTTTGCTCGCAGAGCGTCTCATGGCAGCCAGAGGAATGACCAATGGCAAGCGACCTGGCCAGCACCTCGCTCAGGTAGGCCGTTTCCGTAGCCTCCGTTCCTCATCAGATGAACTGACTTCAGTAGCCCGTGAAGAAAAAGAAGTCCCTCGCTGTGGCTGTCAAGACTGAGCACGACAACAACGCTCCTTCAACTCCGTCTGTCAAGAAGACGGGAAGTTTCGAGCACCAGGAAGCAATTACATTCTTTGGAGAAGAGGGCGAGCCAGCTGATCCTGGTCCTGACTATGTCGAGGAGGACTACGACACTGTTAGACTCAAGGGTATTATCTGGCCCGGCATGAGTCTCTTCGACGCCGCTACCCCGGATCAGAGGAAGAAGCGGAACCAGCGCAAGGACGCCTCGGTCCTCCTTCAGATGGAGCTTGACTCTCAGGCTGTCACCACCCTCGAGATGGTGGCTAACCTCAACTTGGAGGTTGAGAAGACTCGCAGTGTCTACGATGCCCCTTCCATTGAGGGTACTCCGGTATGGTGACTCCCAACTTGCTAAGCTCGGAAGCAAACTGACAACATCCAGCCTGCCAAAAAGCCCAGAGGTCGTCAGAGACGCGCTGTCACCGATGGCTTCGAGTCTCCTTCTGTTGGGGTCAAGGAAGAGCCAGACACGGACGACGAGGCCCTCATGCGGCCCACTCGTGCCAGACAGCCCCGAACTAAAAAGGGTCCGAAGGTCATGGCCAGCCCCTCCCCCGAGGCAGACTTCCAGAATTCCCCCGAAAGATTCGAGATTGCCAGCGACGACGCCGATGTCAGTGTCCCCAACCATGGGTTTGCTCTAGGCACTGAAATGCCTCTTGGTATTGCCTACAACGACAATTCCCATGGCGACGTTGACGCGGACAACGATCCTGACCCGGACAGTTTTGATACGGACTTCGACGAGTCCCAATTCGCGGATCAGATGGGCAACTTCAAATCAACTTTCACACTCCCTGAAGGAGCTGATGGAGGAGCCGGCGATGTCTTCAGAGACGGCTCTTCTGACTGTATGTTGCTATCATTGCTTCCGTCTTCGGCTGTTGCTAATCTGTTCACAGCCCGCCAACCCCCGACCCAGATCACAGATCAAGCTAGGTCGGCTCTTGGCCACGACCTCAAATCTTCTTTTGATACGGTATATTGATGACCCCTGTTGCAGATTCAATGTGCGAAGTCGTATCCCCCTCCAACCGATGAACCCGAACTCAAACCTGACGTTGGCGTCTCCTACCCCTGCTGCGAAGCAGCTGTCGCACCGAACCTACAAGGGGAAGGAAAATAACCGTGGCTTGCAGGATCCGGCATTTGGAAATCACAACTTCTTTGGTGGTCACAACGCTCACTTGAACCAGGCCAGAATGTCCAATATGGGGTTGGCTCCCCCCTTCCACAACTTCGCGCATGCACAGGCAATCGACTCTGTCTTTCATACTCACTACCCGCACCATTGGCCACACAATGCGCACCACGGATTCAACCCAATCAATGGCCACCCGGATCAACGGAACCTGTACCACCCTCGCATGTTTCCCATCGCTCCCAATGTCTTCGACGAGAACGATCCGGGCCAGGGCTTGGATGGCGGTTTCAATGGAAATTTCTGAGATGTACGACTCCGAGGTTTCGTAGCTCGTGGGACCATCAAAGAAAGAGGCGACGTTAGGCAATCGACGTGTATCAGAGGCTTTCATTTTCGTCTTTCATTTTCATTTTCGCTTTTCAAGTACGTTCAAGGCGCCGACCTCCATTTTCCTGCGCATTGCTAACTTTCCCAGCTGTTTAAGTAGGCAGGCATGCTGTTGCTTGACCCCGCGCGTTTTCGATTCACGCCTCTGCGATTCGGAGGGTTTCTTCTGCGCTTTCTCGGGGCAATTACGCGGTGCCTCTCGCGAAGGACCACGAATGAGGCTGGCTTGGCCAGCTTGGCATGTCGAGAACCTTTACGAAGCCGTATATACGGTGGTTCAGAAGAGACGGTTACTAGGTTTGAGACTATAAACTCGAACATTCTTCAGTCGGGTGCGGAGGAAACTATGGTCCTGGTAGCCGTCGGTTGGTCACGAAAATTCATTCTTCTTGGCCAGCTAGTAATGCCACAGCATGGTATTTAGCAATAAAAGCAATTCATTATCATATCGTTATGTGATTTGTACACATGGTGGTGTTACAACTGCTCTATGTTTGACATCAAGTGCTCCAACTGATCTGTCTTGCTTTGCAGCACATCGGACAAGAGACGTGCCGTACCCTGTAACCTCCTTGCCCTTACATCCTGCTCCATCTCTCTTGATTTCTGCGCAGCCACCTCGATGACCTTGCGGGGAATACGAGCCAGCCGTGCGACGTTGAGACCGTACGAGCGATGGGCGACGCCCTCACCGACTTCGTACAGAAATGTAATCTCTTCGTCGGCACCGGCATCGTCGTCCTCCCTTCCGTCCTCGCCCTCCTTGCGCGTAGCCGTGAAGCGCATGTGGACGTTCTTGACGAGGCCCTGACCGATGCCGTCTGCGAGACGCGCAAGATTCTGATAGTGCGTGATGAAGAGGGTCAGACACTTGTTCTCGCGGACGACATGGTCGAGCACGGCGTGCGCGATGGCGGCGCCGTCGTGTGTCGAGGTGCCGCGGCCGAGCTCGTCGAGGATGATGAGCGAGCGCGGCGTGGCGGCGCGGAGAATGCGTGCCGTCTCGGAGACCTCTACCATGAAGGTGGATTCGCCTGCGGCGAGGTTGTCGCGGGCGCCCATGCGGACGTGAATTGCGTCGGCGAGGGTCAGGGAGAATTCGTCAGCCGGGACGAAGGAGCCTATCTGGGCGAGGAGGACGAGGAGGGCCACGGCGCGAACGAAGGAGGATTTGCCGCCCATGTTGGGGCCCGTGATCAGGTGGGCTAGCGGGGAGGGGGAGGAGAGGGTTGTTGTGAAGGGGATGTAGGGGTCTGAGAGGGTGTGTTCGGCAATGGGGTGGCGGCCCTGCGTTATGGAGATTGTGGGCTGGGTCGGTGTTGAGAGGAAGCTTGGTTTGGTGTAGCCTGGGAGGGCGGCGACACGGGAGAGGGAGAGGAGGCAGTCGAGGGTTGCGAGGGAGGAGACGGCGTCGCGGAGGGGCTGGTACGCGTCTGCAATCTCGCGGAGGAGGGAGGTGAAGGCTGCGTCGCAGGCCGCGGCGAGGGCCTCGCGGTGTTGGTCGCGCTCTTGGATCAGGCGGACGACGGTGGGGGTGTGGAAGCGAGAGAGCTTCTTCGTGCCGGAGATCTTAATCCATGAGGCCGGGACGGACTTGAGGTCTGTGTTGAGAACTTCGATGAGGAACTCGATGCCGGAGACGGTGACATATTCGACAGGCTTCTTGCGCTTGATGGAGGAGGCGGCCTCGGCGCGGTGTTCGTCGAGGGACTGTTCGACGGAGACAATTCCCATCTTGTGGTCCTCGATGTCTTCGGTCTGTTCCGACTCGCGGAAGAAGTTGTACTTGTCATCCTTTCGGGCGGCTTCCGGGTTGATCTTTTCGAGGTGCGAGACGACGAGGTCGAGGATTTGAGGGAGGGAAAAGATTGCCGAGGATATCAGGGGTGAGGTGAAGCCCGTTTCCTCGGCTGACTTGACTGTCGAGTATTGCATGGCGATGCGTTGAAGGGTCTGGAGGACGGAAAGGAGTTCGGGGCGGGTGCATTTCCCGTAGTAGATGCGGATGAGACTGCGTTCGAGGTCGGTCTTGATGCTGGACAGGAGACTCTCGAGGCGGTCCACCTTTGTGGAAGATTGCTCGTCCAGAAGCTCCTGCACAGCGGCGACACGAGCCTCGAGACGGGAGACGTCAAGCAGGGGGCGGCCGACCCATTTGCGAAGGAGGCGCTGGCCGAAGCGGGTAGTAGTCTTGTCCAGTGCCCAGAAGAGGGAACCGCGCTCGGAGTGATCTGTGGCATTGCGATAAACCTCAAGGGACTCAAGGGTTGTTCCGTTCAGGAGCATGTGCTGGCGCGCAGAGAAGCTGGCAAAGTTCTTGGTAAGATCGAAAACGTGTTCGAGGCCGTACTCCTTGAGGTGTGAGATCATCGCACTAAGACATATCGTCACGGGCTCAGGGAGATGGAGGATGCGGTCCAGGAGAGCGGAGGCGGCGGCGTCTGGGGTCTGCTGCAGCTTCTCGGCGTAGAACTGCGTGACGTGGGAGTAGGCCTCGGCAGCCATGGTCTTAGAGCGAGGGACGCGCTCGACGCGGCTGCGGTCGCCAAAGACGTTTGTGCTGCTTCCTGACAGATGGCGAATGAGCTTGTCGGAACCCTTGGTGAGATCGCCCACAATGACAAACTCGCACGGTGAGATGTGTAGCAGGCGCGTCTCAATTTCGCTCCTCATGAACCCGTCCTCGAAGGTGTCATAGATGATGTCTCCCGTCGTCGGTTGCACGGCCACTATGCCGACATCGACCTTCTCATCAGTGCCCTGGCCCTTTGACGGGGTTTCGGTGATGCACAGGAGATACCCTCCCGAGGGAGCACCGCCGTCGCCAGTCTCCAGCTCGCCGTTCTCGTCGATGTAGGTGCCCTTGGTGTAGACGTTGGTCAACTTTCGTACGAATGGTGCGTTGCGATTGTCGCCGGCCTTTTTCAGAGCAGCCGTTTCAATCTGTCGAACGACTCCAACCTTGTGTCCAGCGGCAACTAGACGCTTCGCGTGGACGTGTAGCCGATGGACTGGGATACTCGCTGACGCAAAGCGGTCCCAGTGTGCTTCCGAGGGGTGTTCATCGTAGCGGTACTTTCCCGGGATACAGACGATGCTGAGCTCCTTGGCGGCAATGCGGGCGTCCTCGCCGAAGAATCGGAACTTGTAGCCGACCTCAACGATGAGGACGGTGTCGAGGTGCTTGCGCTTGATGTCGAGGAACTGGATCTCCATTGGTGTGAGCTTCTTGTTCGCTCGTGCGCCGCCCTTTTTCGCCTTGGGTGGCGGCGGTGCCTCATCTTCTTCGTCTTCATCGCCCTCCTCTCCCTCGGCAGCTTCGTTGTCATCTTCTCGGTAGCGGCGGCGCAGCATGCTGTCTGGATGGCCCAGCTTCTTCACAAACTTCTTGTGAAGCTCCTCCCTGTGCTTCCTCGTCGATGGGTCGTCATCCTCCTCCTCTTCGTTCTCGTTTGACTCTTGGCTGTAGACAAAGCGTCCTGTCCTACTACCGGATGCTGATGCCTTCGCCTTGGGCTCCTGGTCGGTTTTCTTCTTTCCACCAGGGAAGAAGGAGCTTTTCCCTTGGTCGACGACTTCAGTATTGTCGGCCTTTGCTCTCTTTGACGTCTTCTCCAGCCCATTGTTCCCCTTATCGGCGTCCTCTTCCAATGGTCTCTTGCGCGAGCTCTCTGGCGACTCGGGCGGGCTGGTCTTGGACTCGGATTGGGACTTGTGGAAAGCCTCGGCGAGGCCATTGACGGTTTTGGGTTTGAAGAAGCTCGTCAGCGATCGCTGCTGCTTCTCGGGAGGCTTCGATTTGGGCGCCATTGTGTACGACAAGAAGATTTGCGGCGCCGTTGTTGCGTGGTGATTGTGAACCAGCTTGGAAAGATTTGGATGGTGATGTCAATTAGGAGGCCCCGGTCTCGTCCCGTCGCGTCTCCAGGGCGTGAGCGCGTTGAGAGGTTGCAGGGGGCCCCCAGTGGAGCTCAATAGTTTACAGGGGTCCGCGCCAGTACTCCGCAGCAGGCCGTCAGGGATTGGGTCCCTCATATTAAACTTTCTTTTTACAGCTTCATGGCGTGAAACCGGCTGCATGTAAGTCGCGCGGGAAAAAATCACTCAGATTGCTGCCAGGTCCTTTTTTTTTTTTTTCCATATCTTTAGGTTCATTGATCGAATTAAGAGAAATGCAACTCTAGGGGTATGTTGAAAGAAACGAAACGTCTGCTCAAAGCAGTTGAAGACCTCCCTGCCAGCTCTAGTACCGAAACACCCACCGCCTAACTCAGCAACCAACGGAGACCGATTGCGCCGTCCTCCAGGAACTTCTGGCTAGCCTTCAGGTGCGGGTAAACTGCCCAGAAGCCGTGAGGCACACCGGGATACAGGTCCAACTTGGTGGGCACCCCCGCGTCCCTCCACACCTGCTCCATGACCAGAGTGCAATCTCTCAGAGGGTCGAGGCCGCAGGCCTGGAAGTAGGTCTTGGGCATGATGTTGCCGAGGTCTGGGGACAGGATTGGGTAGGCGACGGGGCTCGTGAAGTCAGGCTTGTAGTTCTCTGGCACCCTTGTCAGTACGGAACTTTTACAAAACTGCGGGGTAGTCTTACTGTGGATGACTTGGACGGACTCCTTCGTGATGACTGGCGCATGCGCGTTTTGCTCCATACTCAGAAAGCGATCCTTGTACTTCGCGGGGACAGTTTCCTCCGTAGCTGCAACGGCAACTGACGAGTAAATGCCCGTCAGTGGGGGTGATCGCTGCTCTTTTCCCCAAAGATAGGCGACACCAAGAGCCAGATCTGCGCCGGCGCTCTCGCCGCCAACGAGGAAGCCCTTCTCTGGGTTGATTCCCAGGTTCTTGGTGTTCTCGATTGTCTGTGGGCGGTCAGCTTACTCAACTAACAGCCACTCGGGCTTTGCGCTACTCACCCAAGACACTGCGTCGTAGCAGTCGTTCGCGGGGATGGGAAACGGGTTCTCGGGAGCAAGACGGTACTCCACGTTCACCGCAATGCCACCCAGCTGAGTGAAGGCGCGGCAAACGAACGATATCTCTTCGACGGATCCAATGATGAAGCCGCCACCGTGGAAGGCCACGAAAACAGGGCAGCCGTCCTCGGGGAGTTGCTTGGGCTTGTGGATGCGGGCGATGAGGGACGCGCCGTCCCTCGTGGGAATCTGGATCTCCTCCTCAACCCAGGGTACGGTTGATGGATCTGGGGCTGCTGCGCGCTGGGCTGCGCCGGCCTGAGCCATCATGGCTCTCAGTCCGCCCAGGTCAGTGTCCATTGTCCAGCCACTCACACGGGGCGGGCTGGTTTTGAAGGCCTATGAGGTGTAAGCGGTATGACGGCAAAAACGTGGTGTTGTCATGTATCACCTCGTCCCATTCGGCAGAAGGGGTGCCAAGTGCTAAGGTCTCCTCGACAGACAGCATTTTGTGTGTGAGTAGCATAGTCGTGAAGATGGATGAGGAGTCAAGAGAAAGATGGGTCTGAAGGTCAATCTCATCAGACAAAGCTCGTGGGGGACTCGGCTCATGAATTTATATCCCACCACTACCCGCGGGGTTACCCAACTGGCAACCACCAACCTCATCTACCAACCAAGCGGGCAGGTACGACATGCCCCTTTCTGGCAACGGCGTTCCATAGCCATGGATGCCATGACCCCATCTCCAGGGAAGACAAAAGAAAACAGATGCCAGCTCATAACTGTACAAAAAAACCGTGCACCAGCTCTCGCCAAATTTGCCCATCTCAAAGCGTGTAAGCCAGGCTAGGCTAAGTGCATCTTGCGTCTATCCTCGAATCAGGGGTTAATAAGAGTGCCAGGTGGCACACACCGCTCGTCAGCTGCGGCAGAATGCGGGTCTTCCGGACGCGAGGTCCTTCCGTCTTGCGGGGCACGATATCGGGTCCAATCGGGCCCCTGTCCACAGAGTACCGGCTGTTTTCCCCACACACACCGGACGTCGCAGCGGCTTATTCTCTCAAGGTCCGATTCATGATGCCATGCAGCCTGCGTAAGACGGAGCGCGTTCTGGAGCCTCCAAATGACCCCTCATAGGCGAAACATGAGACATTTTTCTGACGATGGATGCGAACCATGGCTTTGGCACGAACCTGTCCAACTGCTACCTCAGATTACCTATTTTACTGGATTATTAGATGACTTGCTCCAAGAAAACATCCGCCCTGCAGAAGCTTCGACGTGTTGGTTGCTGCACGTGACGTAGCAAAGGCGTGATTGGCTGGGGGCCGAGCATCCCCGAACGGTTGGGTGAATTACAAAGCGACACTACCAGCTTTGGTGATGTAAGGTTCAAAAGGAAAAAAAAAAAGTGGACTGACCGAGGTCGCCGATTATATTCAATCGTCCAACCCGGATTGCAAATCGTTTCCTGAGCCACCAACACTCGCTAGACACTCACAATGGCCTCCCAAGCTTGCGAACTGCGTAAGGAATCCTTCGCGACACAAACCTCCCCCTCTCAATGGCTAACAAAAGGACTCCGCAGCCTCCATTTCCACCCCGGCCGCCGCGCCGGCTGCCGCAAACGAGCAAGCCTCCAAGCCCAAGGTGCGCACGACTGAACGACGAGCCTTGCCTCTCTCTCCCCCTTATCTCACACGACCCCGTGCGACGAACACCTGCTGACGCTTTCTTTTCAATAGCCCTGCTGCGTATGCAAGGAGGAGAAGGCGAAACGGGACGAGTGCATGCTCTTCTCCAACGCCGCCGACCCGGCCAAGGACTGCCTTTCCACGATCGACCAATACCGAAACTGCATGAAGGGCTTTGGCTTCACGGTGTAAGGGGATAGTCGAGCCGATAATGAAAACGGGTAAATCGATGCGACGATAGATGTACAGTACGACCAAAGCATACACGGCGTTGGGGAAATAAAGAACCATCACGACTCTGGTATGAAAACTGCCTTTTGTGTGCTGCAGTGAGTGTTGTTGGGGCAATCTACAATCTGGTCATCACCTTACGTGATTTTCTCCCTTTGGAATTGCGTGTTGCTGTGAGCAATGATTACGATGTAGTTGCGACCGTCCTTTCGTACCTTTGATTTCCATCCGCATGACCTCTGAAATATTGCACATTGACCAAAAATCAGCAGTTGATCCGACGAACATCACTCTAAGCTCCAGAGCAAAGCGTCTTGCTAGCCGTGGCTTTGTCCACGTCTTCCTTGCTCTGTCGGGATCGACGGCAAACAATGTTGATCGGCAAGATGTGGGAATCGGAGACACAAGGCTGGGGCGTCTTGTTTGAGGATGAGGCAGAGCATGACGGCGTGGTGCGGACGCAGACTGCAGGGCAGATACGCCGAGGGAAATGTTGCAAAGCATGCGAGAGGAGATGAGCAACTTGTTACCGCTGCGGTTTTCTCTTCTGGGCTACTTGTGCAATATTACGAACGGTGGGTTAGAAGGTGAGAATTGGGGGGGTGCGAGACATGCTATGGCCGGAAGCCGCAAAGGGATGCAAAAGGTGCAAGAACGGGCTGCGTGAGGGCGAATGCTGTCACCGGAGGCAGAAGGGACAACAACAATCTCTCAAGGGACCGAAGGCTTTGCGACTGGTCTATGAGTCACTCAATACCCCAATTCCATACTGGAAGCGAAGGACGGCCGACGGGTTCCTTATAGTCTGGTCCAATTCCAACTCTCCCGGCCCAGAAGGCGGCTCCCAGGTGGGAGTTCAGGTCAAACTGGGTCAGTTGGTGTGGTCGGTTAGAGTGAAGTGGTTTGGCTCGGACTTGGGCTTGGCGAGGTCCAGGTTCGAGCCGTCGACAAGAGATTACCTGTAAGTATTCCAGACGTGGGATCATGGGAACTCTTTTGTTATTTTGGTTCTCTTTTCGGATTCTATTGTCGGGGAAAATTAGTCATGCACTTCCTTTCCCCAGTCGACCTGCAAAATTGCGAGCGATGCATGCTCCTTCCGTGTACTAGGAAATTTTGCGATACAGGAGCACTGACCGAATGCATTGCCGGTGAGTTCGGTGAGGATGGCGGGCGGGGTTACTTCGGCTGCAGGGATGGCTGAATTCCAGACAATCAGACCCCACTAAAATTTTCTTCGATAATGGAATCTGCACTGGCACCTTATCGCATCTCGAAAACTCCCTTCTCCATTCAACGGGTTGGTTTCTCGTCAAACCGCAAAGATGGGTCTGGCGCAGCAGAAATCGTAAGAGACATACCATGGGATTCTACAGTGACATGCGATTTCATTTACTGACATCCTACTAAATAGCCGCCGCAAGATCGGCAAGGATCCCAACAACACGAAATGGACCAAAGACACCGAGTCCTTCGGCCAGCGGATGCTGCGATCGCAAGGTTGGGAACCTGGGCAATACCTCGGCGCCAAAGACGCAGCACACGCCGTGCACCACACAGCCGCCAATGCTTCCTTCATCCGCGTCGCCCTCAAGGACGACATGCTCGGCCTCGGCTTCAAGCAAGCCAGGGATGACAGAGTGACGGGAATGGACGTCTTCTCCGACCTGCTGGGACGTCTGAACGGCAAATCGACCGAGGCGATCGACAAGGACCGCCAGGCCCGCGAGGCGCTGAAGAGCACGTTGTACTGCGATACCAAGTTCGGTCCTATGCGCTTCGTCAGCGGCGGCTTCCTCGTGGGCGACCAGGTCAAGGAGTCTGTCGACGGCGAGCCCAAGGAGGAGAGCAAGGATGATGTCAAGATGGAGGACATCCCCGCCGCGGAGTCGTCGAGCAAGAAGTCGAAGAAGCGCAAGGCCGAGGATTCGAGCGACGAGTCGGAATCCTCCGAGGACGAGAAGACACGGAAGAAGCGCAGGAAAGAGGAGAAGAAGGAGAAGAAGCGCAAGTCAAAGGCTGTGAAGGAGGATGTTTCCGAAGATACCCAGGACGACGCGGAGAAGAAGGCCAAGAAGGATAAGAAGAAGGAGAAGAAGGAAAAGAAGAAGGAGAAGAAGGAGAGCTCAGAAGCCGAGAGCTCCGACGAAAAGGCGTCGAAGAAGAAGAGCAAGAAGGACAAGGCCGAGGCAAAGGAGACCGACGCCGAGAAGGCCGCGAGGAAGGAAGAGAAGAGGAAGCGCAAGGAGGAAAAGCGCGCCAAAAAGGAGGCGTCGCGGGAGTCTTCGTCCACGCCGGCTACGTCAACACCAGCGAGCGGTACATCAACACCGGTTCTCAGAGGTCACCACGCTGTAAGATCACGATGGATTGCGCAGAAGAGGATGGCGACTATGGACGACAAGGCTTTGAACCAGGTATGTGGCATTGGATATTCCCACGATACGTATCTGTTTACTAACTTGAGACAGATTTTCATGATCAAGTCGCAGTCGTGATTAGAGATAGAAAATAGATATTAATGACATGGTGTTTTGAGGCTTCAACATATGTAAAGTACCCACCTAAAGGCGATGTAGGCCAGGCTTAAATGGTGCTGCGGTGCGATTTGTACCCGTGCATCATCGATATGGGGACTTTGGTTATGCTACTATTGCGAAATTCGGACGGAGGGCAGAGTCAAAACAAAGTTCTGATCCTGTAGACTTATGGCTGGTGTTGCCCAGCAGTCAACCTGAAAGGATTTCGGCGTGGGTACTGAGCGCGCGCGCGCGCCCGACTTGTTCGTATTAGAGGCAGCCGAGCCACTTTGGCCGGGTGTACGTGCCGAAGTATGGCACTACGACTTATTTGAGCCAGCAGAAAGCCATATAAGGTGTATCCTCCATGCGTACCCACCCCACGCTTGACATGGGAACCAACCTTGGTCGCCAAGCTTCGCTTTCCTCTTCAAACACGTCTTCGAGAAACACCACAAATGACATTGCAACCTCAAAAAGACACGAACATCTCCCAGGCGCACGATATGGCGGGTTCTTCTACTGTGCCATGGTCCACGAGCAAGACTGCCATCAAGGACGATAATATGAGAAACAACGACCCCGCCGGCCCCAAGCCTGTCGCATGGCAACACAACTACTTCGCAACCTGGCTTGCGATCAATCTCGTATGCTTGCTCATCATCTCCGGGCTCGGCTCCGGCAGGGTCACCATCTCGGCGCACAGCCAAGCCTTCATCGGCAGCTTCGCATGCTTCTTCTTCATCGGCTCATTCATGGGCACCCTCGCCATGGCCGCAGAAGTGTGGCCGCGGACGGCTCATAACCGGATTCTTGGCGGTACTGTGGGAGCCGGGTTGTCAGTCTCATACGCCCTCTTGGGTGAAGGCTGGAATAACGGCTGGCACCGGACAACCGTTGCGCTGGGCGGGTGGTACGTGGGGTATCTGCTGGAGTCTACAACGGGGGTGTTTGGGATGTTGCTTCAGGGTCTTGCCAATACTGGCGAGCCGCGGGATCCTGCGATTGTTGCGGCTTAGAAGCCTGAAAACAAGATGGAGGGAGAGAAACCAGAGGGCACATAGTCTATTCTCAAGACATTTTGCGCTCATGCTACTATCTATAAGACGATATGGAATCACAGAAAAGCACAACACCGCTTTTTGCCGCCCAGTCATGAATGGAATATATAAAAGGTTTTGAAGGCTCGAAGCACTTCTTTCAAGCAAACATCATTGAACAGGCAAAAGCGTATGGCATCCAGCAAAAGGATAGAACCCTCGGCCGGGTTTGAACCAGCGACCTTCAGCTAGCTTTCCCTTGACGGGCTGCAGGCCGACGCTCTACCAATTGAGCTACAAGGGCTTTTCTGATGACTTGTTGGATATCAGATGCATCCAAGACCATTATGACTGTTTCGCTGGCAACCTGGCTGTTCCGTCATCGCCGCTTGGATGTTGGTTGGTGAGTCACTTGGGCATGTACTCAGAGGTCGGCCGCCAAGGTTCGGCCTGGCGACGGGGCTGTGTTCCGTCTTCCAGCCGCACGCAAAAATCAAGGCGCCGAAACCTTTCTGGTTACCTTTATGAAAGACTTCGATATGTCGCGGCCAATTCCTACTCCAACATGGATGGGCCTCTGGTGCAAGTATCATATTTACAAACTACGCGAGCCCTCCACAACGATGTTGTTGACGACCATACTATGCGCCATTGGGCGCTGCTTCTTACGTCTAGATGCCGTTCTGGCAATTCTAAGGGTCCTCGGAGCCTTTGGAATGGTATCCTGCCTTCTCATTTTGGCATTCTGTCATCGAGCCTTTGGCAAATACGTCCTTGCGCTCGTTGCGTTGAGCCCCCTGGTCCGCCTCATCCAAACCAGCTGGGAGTTCATGACTGGAGACTTTCCTTGGGACAACAAGGGTTATTTCGTGAGCAGCAGAGAAGGAGAGTTTCTACCCTGGGTGGTCTTCTTCCAGCTGCTTGCCCTCGGGGTACTCGCCGTCTCTGGACGCGACTACATACAGAGAATTCTCCGTAAGCGACAGGAAGGTCAAATCGATGATTTGGTGGAGATCATAATGACGGACGCTCTGGAAGCTTCTGAAGAAACCTGGGAGATGGTTGAGTATACGGAAGGCTCTATCGAGAATGGCTGGGCGGGCAAGCGGCTCGCCTCCCACGGCAACAGTATTACGACGAGGGCAGAGCTCGAGACTCGTCAAAGTTTTGGAGAACAGGAAGAATCTCTCGAGGAGTTCTTTGGGTAATCAGCCAACTCAAGAGACATACGATCGCAAACTAAGCATCCCACAAATCTGTACAAGGTAAGGCTTCTCAAGCGCAACTCCGCCGTAATCACCATGCTTACCTCAATTGAAAAGAGTCATCACCCTTCGGATGCTGCTGAAAGGGAGGACCTTCAATATGCAAACTCAAACACTGGGTTTCTGTCCTTATAGGTACTTTCCTGGCTGGCCTGTCCTCGATACGAAAAGTCTGCACATCGCAGGTATCTCCGTTGACGAAGGCATGCCCATATAAACACAGGATCTTCTCAGGATGTACGACCAGAAGCTCGAAACTACCAGGCTTCTGGTTAAGCTGAATATCCTTCACTCAACTCTCAAAAACATACACATACACCAACCCAATAATTCAAAGAGTTACAGTTATCTCTCAACTATCTACAATGGCTGCCTCTACTACTTCCAACCAAACCCGCTTCTGGCGTGACCGCTCCCCTTACCCAGGACGTCCGTCATCGCCGTTCTCAAGAAGAACTTCCGACAAGCGCGTTTCCGTTCTTCAAGACCATGGAGACGTCTGGTGGAAGCACTTCCCTGGCTCCCAAGAGCGCAATCAGCCAACCTTGAGGGCCGAGGAGCCGGTAACGCATAACTCAGGGCGCGACTCGACGTCGGCCGCTCCCAACTCAACGATGTCTAGCCAGAGGACCGACCCCATGGACATTTTCGAGCCGTATCCTATCAGAAACGATCCGACTCCCAGTTTCCACGACGAAAATGAACTCTTTTTCGGCAAGAGTTATAAAGCAAAGCCCAAACGTCAGCGGCCGCAGCCTCTGTTCGGATCCTTGAACGCCATAGTCAACGACAACAATAACCCCCCTCTGTTCGAAAGTCTCGATGATATGGTCAGCGACAACAAGGACCACAGCACGGCATCCGAGAGCCGACCTACCACAAAGAGATCCATCTCTTGGGCCCACGGCTGCTCCGCCGCGGACCAGAAAGCCGAAAAGCTTACGAGAGAGAGGTCGAGCTCTCTGCCGCCCCCTTCTCACGAGTCCGAAGACGAGGTTGCTACCCCTATGGCAGTCACACCGGGTTCACAACAAACAAGGTCGACAGACCTTGTCAACCACAAAAGCGAGCTCTCGAGCTCCCCGCCAAGAAAATGGCTCCAACTCGACGATATGATTTCGGGACCGCGCCTCGTTCAAGTCAAGCCGGGGCCTGGCTACGACGATCTTCCCCCGCTCACGTATGTGACGACTGACCCTGGGGTGGTCGACAGCATCCCGCCCCTGGACGCGGCGACTCAAGCTCTGGCGTTGGATGACTTGAGAGACCACGTCAGCAGCTCCTGTTCCTCGAGCCGGGCTAGCCGGTCGCCGTCTCCTGAGCGTGAGGAGATTATTGAGAAGGATGATTGGGAGACTGACGATGAGGACCAGGTCACCGAGGATGAAGACGATGAGACCGAGAGTGAGCTGGAGTGGGTTCAGCGTGTGGAGACGAGAGAGCCGGGGAGAATGGTTCGTCTCCTCAACGGTAAATGTATTCCGCACTCCAAGTGGAAAAAGAAGCATAAGCATGGGAGGAAGTCAAATTGGGGCATGGTATTGATTGTTTCCATGCTGGTGGTGCTCCTGGCCTTGTTCGTGGCATACATAATGAACCTTGCGTGGTGTGAGGGCATAGCCGGAAGAACCTAGGGTCTTGCCGTAGTCATAATGCCCAGGCCCCCATGGCTATCTGTATATACATCTTTGTACTATATTTTCTCAGGTATTGGATATGGGATAATAATGATTTGATTGATGTCTATTCATGCTCGTATTGCGCCATGCTAAACTAGAAATGTCTTTCTTCTAAAGAGGGTATAAGATTCGATCTTCAACCGCCATGCGTGATAAATAATAACGAAAAACCAGACATCAATGACGCCGTGCCTTGGTGTACCTCCAAAGCAAGCTCGCACCTTCCAACGTGGGCATTATCCTTGGCCGAGGACTTGAAGATGGGCCCTTCTCGACAGCTAGATGCATCGACCTATGAAACCTCCGTCTAAACCGCCGCCAGTCGTCATTCGTCGGCCATGATTCGTAAAGGTCGGCTTCGTCTTCAAGGTCGTCCTTGTCGAAACAGTCATCCTTGTCCTCTTCCACGGCCAGCGGGTAGTAAAGAAACTCGTTCGAATGCGGGTGTCGGGGCTGCGTGTAATTGAGATGCGACTCAATGTCGAATTTGAAGCGGTATCCTTGGTGCACCTGCTGCGGGCGGAGGGCCCCAAGATTACTATTCGCAGATTGCGGTGCCGCGTACGGGTAATGCACGTCAAAGTCGAACTGGAATTCCTGATGGACGACAAAGACCAGCTTTCTCAGTTTCGGAAATTTAGCGAGGCGGGCCAGCAGCGTCGCCATGTTCGTCTTGGAGACTTTCCAACTGAGGACGGGGTGGCAGATGCCAGTGTACAGGCCGTACGATGTTCCGAATGCAAGCCGGCTGAGACTGTCTCGGACAAGGGGGATCTGGCTGAAAAAGTGCAGCGTTCGGAGTAGCCGCTTGACCAGCAAGTACGGCTCGAGCAGGAGGACATCGCGCGACAAATCGACATATTTTGTGGTGACGGACAGTGTAAGAGGTCTGTAGCGCTGCAGGACGAACACTCTCGTCTCGTGACAGACTCCGCCCAGGGCTGGTGGTGGTTCATCTCGGACGTTGGCGAACATGAGCCCTGCAGCAGCCGGCGTCTTCTGGCTTGCATTCGGGGCGTCCATGACTTCGTAAACGCGGGATTGCGGCAGGGCGTATTCCCAAATCATCAGGCGGATCTCCACCGGCAGCTTCATGACGGGGAACGGCTGGCCGCAGCGTGCATCCGCAAAGGACTCCCTTTTGTAAGCCGGGAAAAGGTTCGCCATGTTGATCTCTGTGTGACGCGGAGGCCGGGTTGCATCGCAGCAGGAGATCTGTCAAGGGGTCCTGAAATTGCGGCCTGTTGGGAACCTGGCGGGCGATCTTCTTTAAGGCTGGATGATCTCGGCGGGGGAAGGTTAAAAATGATCGGCAGCGGGACCCAACCACTCGGACGGCGACCGCGCGAACGAACTTGGCCCAAATATCAACAAGACGAGCGAGAGGCGTCGACGCGAAGGATGGGAGTTGAAATATAGGACCGAGTTACCCACTCGTTTAACGTTTCGACTAGCGGCCCGAGAGATCTCGCATAGATGAGGGTGCGAGTTTGTTTCGAGGATCCGGCCGGGATGGAGAGGGTCAGGGTGGGTGAGCGATGTGTGTTCGAGACTTGACAACTCGCCCCAGGTTGATGAACTGGAGGCAGTGAAAGATACAGGCGACGCCAATCGGGGATTATTGCGAGGTGAAGCGAGGTGGCCGGGCGCGCGCAGGAGACGGAGAAAGAGGAGAAGGAGGTCTTGTTTTTGCAAGGAAGAAAGTGAAACGACAAGAAGAGCCGACGGAACGAACTCTCACCTGAAAGCGAGCGGCGGCGGGAATGTAAGCTGGTTTTGAGAGCCCGTCCGGAAGCTCCCCATCACACTGGTGAAACTGGGGCTAGTCCCGATCATCTGATGGCTGTCAACTTTGACTAAGGTCTAGAGGCATGGTCATCTACCGTCCCTGCGGTGCTGTTTAGTGGACAAAAGCAACGTGGGATGTCACGACGGTACGCCGCAACAAGGGAACTATTGGGCGCCATGACTGTCCCAATCAGGTAGTGGTGCCGGCAGTGAATGACGCGCTGTCGTCAGAGCGGGCGATGGATGCACCTCGATATCCGGCAAGCCTGGGGCTCGGCAGGCAGGATGAGATTTTGTGTTTCTGCGTGAATGGGGTTTCCGGCGTCCTGGCGAGAAGGGGAATTGCATTGTTGGGAGACCGCATTCGGTGGGTTGTCACTCGACTTGCCCGGAAACCGCGATGCACACGACATGGCAATCTAATTTTGGCAGAGGCCAAGACTTGCGGTGTGTGGTAATCTGGGCGGCGGTAGCTTCGTGATCCCATCAGCTGGCGATGAGCGGCGGGTTCTACATACGTTAGTGATTGCGACTGTCGGGCTACCTTGGGTAGGTAGTAGCTGAGGTATGCCCATCATCTGGACCGCAATATGGCATCGCATGGTGCCGGACTGCTGCTACCACGCCGCCGCTGCAGGGTGACCGCAGCGTTCCAACGAGATGGCAGATGGGTAAGGTGCCAAGACGTTGGCCGGGGTAGGGTCGGGGAAGTGGTGGCATCGGAAGAGGGGCGGGCGTCGCGAGGAGCTCGCCGAAGTTGACGTTGACAAACGGGCGGAGGCCAGGGAATGGATACGGCGATATGGCTATGGGGGGTTTGACCTTGTTGATACCGGGCCGGATATCGATTGCTGGAAACCTGGGTCGGAGAAACAATACGAATGTGGAAAACGAAGTTTGGTTTAAGCATATTGCTCTTCTCCTGGCGGCCCCTCATATCTGATACCTTCGCTTTGTCGTGGGCCTCGCTGCAATCAATCTGAAGGGAGCAAGATGGCCACTTGATGGCGTTGCGTGACCATTTGGTCGACTCTTGCACTCCTCTGTCGCATTTTGACCCCCTGCGCGGCCCCTAGAGGCTTGTCTAGACCTGTGGGCAGAGTCAGCCCCGGTCATTCAGCGGTCGATTTGTTGGTTCCGCCTGTTGCGTGTACAGTCTTGGTTCCAATTCACTGTACAGAATGTCAATGTATCTGGCCCGGACTGGGATCCGCATGCGTCGCTCGGTGGTTGGCGAAGGGGGTGGGAGCTAGGCCCACGCGATGGCTCGAGGTCGGAGACGGAGATGGTGTGTTCATATGGTGCTCGCCGTCATCTTTGTCGACATTGGATGACGACGGGGGTTATCTAGTTGGCTCAAGACCAATGTGCTCTTCGTCGCACACTGAGTGAAAGTGTGGGGACCGGGCGTCGGTGTGGATGCAGCCGGACACTGGACCTCGCAGGTGAGCTGCAGGCGGGTGCACAGACCATGTCTTCCTTCCACCTTCCCGTCGTTTTCTTTTTTTCCTTCCACCTGCAGCAGCTCGTCCCCGCCCCGTCAACCTGAATGGAACCGTCCTTCCTTTCCGGCAGAATAGTTCTTCCGCAGAGATAACCTAAGCGCGGGCGGCTCCACCCTAGCGGCCGTGCTGCGACGGGTCGCGATATAAAAAAGACTTTTTCGATCGCGACCTTGACGGAGGCTTCCTTTTTTCTTCTTTTTTTCTTCGTGCGGCTGGCACGATTCGTTACAGTTTCCCCTGTTGCTGGAATCCCATAATCAATGGATTTCAAATGCGTCAATCGTGCCCCAGAACAAATTTAATTGCAGCCGGCCTTTCTTCACTTGTTCCTGTCGGCTTGTAACCGCTGGAATGCGCAAGAGAGGCCGGACATACTCTCACCTTGGATCAGGATATTTCTTCCTCGACCACATGGACACGCGAATAAAGCGGTCCTTGATCCATTGCGAAATCTCGTCCTGAGCTTGGGAACGCGTGCAGTAGCAGGCGCGTCGTCCAGGTTGTCACCCCGTAGCTGCACCTATGATCTTGTAAATGGCTCAGGCAGGCCGTGCTTTGGTCTTGGTTTTGCGGCTTCCCGCGTAGCTACTTGCGAGAAACCTCTATGACTTGGGCTCTATTCATGTCTCATATCGAGGGCATTTCCGCAGAATTTTCATCATCTCCACTAGTCCGATCTTTAACTGAGAGGCTCTCCCTACTCGCCGGCCTCGTCGCCAATCTTCTCCAGCTTGCCCATCTCTCTCTTCTCACCCGACTCGCCGATGAGGCGCACTCTGTCCAAGCGCACCTTCTCGCCGTCGCCGTCGCCCTTGGTGACGTAGATGATCACGCTGTTGATGTTCTGGAACTTGACGAACCGAAGACCAATGTTGGCAGTGCCGTCGGCGTTCCAGTCCTTCTCGGTGAGAGTAATGGCTTGCGTAGGAGGGGTATCGTCGGCCTCGCTGAAGTCGAGGTTGTGGGGCTTGTTCGTGTAGAGGTGTATGGTGCCGGGACGCATCGGAGCCTCGTCGTCGTCGTCGTCGGTAGGAGGAAGAGAGGTGAGCTGCGATGTTAGTCAGTAATGCTAAATTGCTTGTATCTCAACGATGAACGTACCTGAAGGGTGTGCAGCTTCAGCATGGACTGGAACGGCATGAACAGCAGAAGCTGATCGTCAGCGCCACTCTCAACCCAGTCCTTGGCTCCTTCCTTCTTGGCCAGCGCGCTGGGCTTAGAGGTATCGAACAAGACACGGACGGGACCAAAGTCCTCGTCGGCATTCAGAAGCTCGCAGCCCTTGGGCTCAATCTGATCGGTGATATCGGTGTAGCCGCGCGGGAGCGCAGCACCTCTCCAGCTGCCGCCGCTCGAGCTGCCAGAACCCTCGCCAGAACCAGACGCAGATCCGCCCTCGACCTCCTTCACCAACTTCTTGACAACCTCCTGGAGCTTGCGGGGGTCGGCGCCCTGGACCTTCTCGATGGCCTTGCCTTCGCGGAAGACCATGAAGGTCGGGAGGGAGGTGACATTGTAGGTGCTGGCGATATCCTTCTGGGCCTCGACGTCGATCTTGACGAAGGTCACGACGTCTTTGCGTGACAGGGAAGACGAGAGCTGTTCGTAGAGGGGAGCAATGGCCTTGCAGGGACCGCACCAGTCGGCGTAGACTGCGAAGAGCCCAATTTGTCAGCAACCTCAGTAGCAAGAGCCAGCACAATAGCAACCCAGGTAACGGCGAGATTGCCTCAATCTAGACCATCCAGAGTCCAATGAAGCAGCCTGCCAGCCACCCACTTCAAGGCGGGAAGAGTGCTTCGGCTCCATTAGGTGTTGGGGGTGGGGAAACTCACAGTCGGCAACGACTATACGGGAGCTCGACAGGAGCTTCTGGAACTCCGCCGGCGACTTGATGTGAACCGTAGTCATCTTCGCAGCCCGAAGTGGTGGTGGTTCAATGTCGGTGGAATGTGACGATGTTGTTGATGATGGAACCCAGAAGAAAGCTGCCCCGCGACACACTCGAGGCAGACCTCACTGACGGAAGGTAGCTTACCTACCCCGCACCATGCCTTTCTTAGACTAGCGCGGATCACTTCGTGCACGGATCACCAAACCCATCCAGTCTTGTCTTTTGAGTACCACTCAGCCACTCTTGCAAACTGCAGAACTGGGGAGACTGTTTTACACCTTTGTAGCCTTTGTGTGAGCCAAACTATCTACAACGTTCCATCTGTTCTCTTCTTTACCTGATGAATCTCAAATACCATTGACTGAGGGTTTGTTCTAGATGTCTGGTGGTGCTCTGTACGAGAGCGGATCGGAAGCTGGAGTTTGATAGTACGATTGGAGTCGAACTGCCCTGAAGCCCCGGCAGGTGTAGGGCAAGATCCATCCTTTGCTTGGTTTGCCGACACGCTCATGGAGCTTTCCCGTGGTACTTTATTCTTGTGGACGTGCCGTCGCCGTCCCTCTTCGCGCTCGTGAGCAGCGGGCGTCCGGTGGATGGGTGCGATGTAGACGATGTGGAGGTCGTCCGGCGTCCTGTCGACAGTGCAGAGACCTTCTTGGCCAAGCCAGAAGACGAACTCATTCAAGGATTTCCATTGTGTTGGCTGTATGCTTGGATGTTGTGGGTTTTGGGTAAACGTCTTGTAGACCTCGTTTGCAGACACTCTTCGTGCTTGGTGTTTCGTTCGTAGAAGCTCGAGGAATGCGTTTTGGAACTCCCAGGACTCTTCCATGTTCCGCTCCAAATCATCTGTGTGACCCGCATGCTTTTCCATGTCGTCTACGCTCAGTAGAGATATATCGCAGGCAGCGCAAACCGCAACGAAAGCACTTGACCACTGCGTCTCCATTCCTGGGTTTGAGGATGGGTTGGTATGTGCGGGAGGAGGTCCCTTTTTGTGTTGATTATCTTGATCGTTCTTGTGAGACTTTTTGGTAGTAGGCAGCCACAGTTGTTGAAAAGTTGAGAGTTCCTATCGAGATAAAAAGTTGAACATGACCTGGGACCATATCTATCCAGGTTACTGTCCAGCGTCCCAAGCCGAGAGAGTGGTTGAACCTGAAGGTAAGTCACTCAGCCATCGTGGCTTGAATTCAAGGCTTGATAGAAAATCTGTGGCAATAACCTTTGGACTTGCAAGATAAGCATCACGAAGTCTGGTGAAGGAACGATGAGGAAGCATTAACGACTTGGAGAATAGAGAGGACGGGAAGACATGGCGTATCTTAAAGAAAATGCATACCACGATATATAATCACTGGCACGTTGATCATTGCTAACGCTAGCTGTATTTTTGTACTTGAAGAAAGCCCGTGTGAGAATTCTTCACACACCGGGCGACGCTTGGCTTCCTAAACCTAAGTATGCGGTTTGGCCGGACTCTCTGATTTGAACGCTCTCAATACCTCTTTGCCCTCGAGCTCCGGCAAATGCTCCTTCGTGATTCCCAACCGGTCGAGAGTTTCCTTCTGGCTGTACAGACTCTCAAGAATCCTCTTTGTACCTCTCCATGTATCATCACCAGGTTGGTTCTGGTACATTTCTCGCCTGAAGTCTTTCCCCCAAATGTCTTCATCGTCACGAAACGCGAACATGCGAGGTGTCCAGTGTTCAGGTTCGATGTCGTCAAACCAGGGGCGGAACCAAATGATGACCTTTTGACATTTTGGTGCATGCCTCAAAATCCATTTCATCGTTTTGATACAATCTTCTGGGCTGGTAAAATTCAATGACTCCACCGCAAGATTTATGCAGTTGAACAATGAGCATGCGATGTCGGGACCGACTAGGGGAGCGATTGAATCATGGATGAAGGCAATGTCTCTCTTGTAGTTGAACCAGAATCCTTGTGATCTCGAGGCCCGCGAGCCGAATTCGAAGTCGCCATGCTTCTCAGCGACTTGTCTCGACTCTCTGCAAGCGTACAGAATCGCTGGAGTTTCATGCTCATCGTAGAGGTGTATTCCACCATCGTCACGCCAGGGTCGGAAGAAACGCGTACCAGGGAGAGCCAATTCCCAAATCATGTGTCGAAGCTCAGGGGGCAATCTTGAGAATCTGTGGAAAGTTGGACCTGGGTCAACTTTAGGTCTTGTGGACGTTTCAAGGACACCACTACCGCTGGGCGGCGCATTGATTCCGAGAATACGGTCGATTAGGCGAGCTTGAACCTCCATTGAATCGACGAGTTCCTTCTGGATGCCTGTTGTTGCACAGCAATTAGCTAAGCGCTGATGCGGATTGCTTGGTGTGGCCGTTACCCTTGAGCTCCTTATCTGAGAGAGACTTGGGTGGCATACGTTGAAGGCTTAGATCATGGCCAATACGTGCCACATGTTCGATGATCTTGAGCTGATATGTCACCCCCGCAGCTGCGGCCCCCCAAGAAGCGTGTCGTGGTGTAGCCATCTTGTGAAGAATAATCTTATCGCTTGGTGATACTTGTTGTTGTGTAGTGGATTGTGACTAGCAGGTGAAAGAAGAAGGGCGAGGGAACGAAGAGAGGCAGAGGTCTGCGAGGCATGGGGGAAAAGAACCCGTTGGAGGGAGAAGGAGGGGGTGGCTTCTGAGAAACATGGAAGGAGCATGTACCGAAAATTGTGTAAAAGGGCAACAACTTCCATGGATCTGGAAAGTGCCAATGCCCAGTGGCGAGTAACCTCGAGGTTTCGTTTCGACCAAGACCCCGGGGCTGAAATTCAGAACAGAAAGTGACGGCGGGGCCTTTGCGATGCTGTAGTCCTTTCCGTTTGACACATCACTGACCACTGACTTGAAAAGACTCGATAACCGAAGAAATTTATAGGGATATGTGTATTGGTGTGAAAAGAGGACTTCAGCTAATATACTCGCCGGCCAGTCCCGAAGCCGATAGTCCCAGGTAGTTGACCCGTGATAAAAACGAATCCCTCCCCAAAGGACCTTTTCGCGCCGCATCTGACATGCTCTCTGTTCGCATCCCAAGGCCAGCCTCTTCGATAAAATATCGACATTGCCACAGCTGCTTACGGTCTAGCATAAGCTTCACTCTGCGTTGCTTCGACGTGATTCTTCCTGGTCAAAGATTCTCCGCATCCCTCCACAAATCCAGTTCCCTGTTTTCCGTCATCATTTTCGTTTGTTGATCAGAAGCTCCATGCCTTCAAAGACGAGATGTGAGTTCAGGCGGCGGGATTGGATCTTCTCCAGCCTTTTCTTCAGTCTCACCCAAGCGACTCGTCGCAATTGACCTTCCCCATCGTCCCAGTAGTCGTTTTCGTCGTCTTTGTTGTCATTGTCCTTGACGTCGTAATCGTCATCGACGTTGTCATGAATGACATAGTCGCGGTCGAGCAATTTGAAGAGCTGCGCATGGTCAATGGCCTCGATGGGAACCTGAAGCTGGGGAAGGGTCGTGACGATGAGTTTTCGGCAGTCGGGTAACCCTCTTGCCCAACATATCATGTAAAAGCAGGAATCCTCGGATTCGAACCCGTACCAATCAGCTGCAATTAACTGAGCACGAGCAGACATGATCGCTTCCTCGACGTCATCGGACATCTCATCACGTCGAACGAATACAATGTCTCTGCTGGGATTGAACCAGAACCCATGAGTACGAGTATGTTTGTATCCGAACGCGAATCTTCCCTTCTCTTCTGTGACGAGCCACGCTTCTTTGCAAGCAGCTCGTACGGCAGGAGGCTTGTAGGCTTGCCGGAGGGCTATTTGGTCTTGATCGTTCTCGTACGGCACGAACACGCGGGCATCTGGTAGTGCCATCTCCCAAACTAACTTGCGAATTTCGGGCGGCAGTCGGCTGAAGCGCGGGAAGGTTGTGGCTGCCAGTATCGTTAGTTTTGAGAGGGAAGTCAACCGGATACACTTACCAGGCGTTGCTCGGCCGAAGTCGCACTTGCTGGCCGCGCGAACTTCAGTCAAGCGCTGGATGATGCTTGCCTGGGACTCGATGGTCTTGCTGATTGTTTTCTGAATCTCCAAAAGATCGGTCATCTGGGACGCGGAAAGTGCCCCCTGCGTGGCGAGAGCATGCGTCATTGTCGTGATGACATCGCACTGCTTAGCAACAGTGCTGGAAGCCGCTTCGATCAGGTTCTTCATCGAATCCATATTGGTAGTCTGGGTATCTAGGTAGGCTGTGGTGGGTTTGGTTGTGCGAGGTGAGAAATCTCGAGTTGGTTGTAGAAGAGGGGAGGGGGGGGAAAGGTGGAGGAGAGAGAGAGAAAGATGAAAGATCCTTTGAATGAAGAAGGAGCGGCAATTTTCAGGCAGTAGTGTCTCTCGTTCTAGGGACGATAGTTGAAGGAGTAAAACGAATAGAGGCAACAACAGCCACGGACAATATTAACGGACGACGACGATGGACGACGACGCTGAAACGACGACGAAGACGATAATACTAGCTTTATAGAGCACATTTAAACCCAAAGGAAAAGTAGACAGTCTCTTATCTATTCATCTCTGTAGCCATTCTCACTCTTGATGTCTTTCCCCCTTGTGGTCCTTCGCCTACAAATGGCCACCAGCCCATCTACTTCCTCCAATCTCTGTCAAAATTCTCGACATGGCCGTTTTAATCTTCCTGGTGGCCGTCCATCGTTCTCTTTAATAGCGGATTCGACGGAAAATGAGCTCCGCCCCCTCGATTGTGAGAGATCGCTGCTTGTCAGATCCAGCGTTTTCCTTAAGACGATCTTCCAAATATTCCCGTAACACCCTCCACGCGACAACATAATGCCTAGAAAAGGAGTCCAAATGCCAAGTCTCCCTCGAATTGCCAAAGCCGACGATGTACTTGTCGTCTATCAGACGAAGCTCCGGAATGAAACCCTCTTCACCATCGAAACGATCATCGAAGTCCGCGATGACGAGGCGGCGAATGTTGGGCAATAAATCCCAGAATGAAGCAAGAACTCGGTTAAACCTTTCTTCTAGACACACGTCTTGCGAACAGATGGCGAGATTTCGCACACGCTCGAAGAACTGCCCATTTTCGAATTTTCGGTTCCACCATTTCCAATCCAAGATGATGTCCGTATCCGGGTCGAACCAAAATCCCGGAAAGTTTTCTCCAAACTCTTCGTGTAGCACTCCAAGAGAATACACCCAGTTTTTCTGAGTGATCTCCCATGCTTCATGGCAGACGCCTCGGATGGCCGGGGGTTTGGGTAGGTTGACAAGTCGCGCGGTGTCGGAAAGCGATCGGAAAGCACTGCCGGTCAGCTCGATTGTACGAGACTTAGGCAGGGCGACAATCCAAATCTTGATACGTAAGGTAGTTCAAGAGGGAGCTCGCAGAAGTAGTGGAAGATCGCGACTGATTGTGTCTGTTCCGGATCGGATGCGTCGACATTGCTCGTATCGGACGCCATTTTTGGTGATTGTTTGTCGATCCTCGAAGAAATTTTGGGAGAGCGTATGGGATGTAATTAAGCGAGTGTCGTGCGTTGAATGTGCGTTGTTCTCGAGAAACTCTTCGGGGATGTGGAGATTAAGCTATTATGTCTCGCAACCGCCCTCTGCATGCTTCTTGACGTGAACAATTCCAGGTAGTTCTTTCCTTGCAAAAGTCTGGAGCGCCTTACTATCTCACGTTTTAGTCTCGTTGACATAAAATTCGAAGCGCGTCGCAGCTAGCTACCTTCCTTCTTCACTCCAAGCTTGTTCAAGAGGCCCCTGCCTTTCTGGTCAAACCAACCACCTACAACTACGACGACACGACTGTCGCTATAGCAACAACCTGTCGTCAGCCTCCTCATCGGCGACATGTCGAAGATCTTTGGAACGGCACGCTGGCTTCTTGGCCTTCCGCCTGCCAAAGCCGTCGAACCTCCCAAGCCTGGTAAGCCAAACATCCTTGTGCTTGGACATCACTCTGACCAATTCAAAGCAACCGCCTTCCCTCGATTTCGAGAGCTCCCGACCGAGATCCGCTGGGCCATCTGGTTGTATGCTCTCCCCGCACCGCGAATCTATGAGCCAGCGGCTCCAACTGATTGGCTTTTAACCCCTATGAAACCAATCACTTTCCTTCGAACCTTTGCTCCGCCTGTCTTGCGGGAAGTATGCCAGGAGGCATATGAAGTCTGCATGTCCGAAGGCGAGTTCAGATTTGGCTGCTTCTTTAGTCACATGCGAGGCATCTGGTACAATGAAGTCAGAGATGCCATCTATTTCGCGTGCGAGATGCAGCTCGATCGAACGCACATATTCGAAGTGGACACCATCTATCTTTCTGCCGACTGTGCTCTCCGGTCCCCAGATTGCCGAAACTTCCTCATGTCCAAAAACTTCGACTTTTGCGACAAGCTGGTAATCGCCCTTTACCCACCAGGTTCCTGGGATATGGATGTGCAAACCCTCAAGGGGACGGAACCAATCTTTAGAAAGATCATGGACTATGAAATTATCGGCGAGCATGCATGGGATACGACTGATTGCTCCCTGGAACAGAGACGAAAGTGGAATTCCGCTGTGGACGGGGATGCGCACAATATCATTTATTGGCAGAGAGCCAAAGAAGTAATCTTGGGACTCTTCAAAATGCGACAGGAGGCGGCGCGTCTGGCGGGCAGGGAACATTACGAAGAAGATCTGGAGCTGGAGGCCGTGGAGGTCTTTCGCAAGCCGTTACCCAAAGCTCTGCCGGCTTAATCAGGCGGTGAACAGAATGAGAGAGCGCTGGTGAGACGGGCCGATGTTGCTGAAGCGAAGGGAGTAAGAGTATGACGCTGGGAGATCGTACACTGGGACAGGAAGTTGAAGAAACAATACATCTGGAGATGGGGACAAAATCAGAAGGAGAGATCATGGCAAGGAGTACTGAAGAGAGAACAGGTCGGGAACGACGATACGATGACACGACACGAATTTCGCTTCGATGAGTTTCTCTAGCAAAGAAGCAGCTAGCAATTAGAAAGTTTATCAAAGAAAGATAATGCTACGTTCAGACACCACAAGTCAAGACCCCATTTGCCAAGTCATCGTATAAAGAGGAAACAAAATCGTGTGTGTGTGTCTTGCCATAAGTCATCTCGGGGACCTGTCGGAAAAAGCAACCCTTCCGAATCCAACACCTTGCGAGTCCTGATGTTTGCCTGAATATGATACAATCCCAAAAGTCGTGAGTTTAAAGAAAAGCCGGACTACCTGCCCTCAATGATACTAGTCAAACAGAGTGTGCTTGGCTCTCAGCATCTCCATACCGACGAACTTGGGCACCTTGCCCTGGCTGAGACCCTTGGTCTGGACCACGTGCTCCATCCACAGCTGCTCGACGATGCGCTTGACGTCCCTCCAGACGGCGACGTTTCCTATCTCCGTCGACATCTCGGTGGGGTAGTCGTGGTGGCCGATGGTGTCGTCGGCCTGAAGAGGGTAGAGCTTCGCGGGCAGGCGGGGAGGAGGAAGGCAGGAGCGATAATCCCAGTCAACGGCCTGGAGCATAATGACCTCGCGGCAGGATGTGAAGTGGGTGAGAATGGTGTCCATCTTGGCGGTGCAGTTGTCCTTGGTCATGAGCTTGGTGTGGGGCAGCGCGACGCGGACGATGCGGGACATGTCGATGTTTGTCCAGCTGGAGGGCTCGGCGCGCAGGTAGAGGATGTCTTCGGAGTGGTTGAACCAGACGCCCTTGTACTCACCACCGAAAAGGCCGAACTCAAAGGCGCCAGCCTCCTTGAAGGCGGCGTTGGCCTCCTTGCAAGCGAGGCGGAGCTTGGGCGTCTTGTGGGTGGTGACGCACATCTCAGGCAGACCCGAGTTCATACGGACGGTGGCGGGGTTGGCCTGGTTGGGATCGTGGGCGCGCATCATGCGGTGGAAGTGGCCATCGGGGCCAGTCATCTCAAAGATCCTTCCGCCGGGGAGGGCGAACTTCCAAATCTTCATGCGGAGCTCGAGAGGGAGCTTCTTGAAGAAATGGAACTCAAGCTTGACCGCCGAGTGGCGGGAGGCTCTTTGGGCCTCGAAGTCGATGCCAGTGTAGGACAGAAACCTACCGACGGTCTCCCTCTTCTTGTCCTGGTCTGCTACGCCATGTTAGCATGTATCTACAGTGGCAAGGCAAGGAAAAATCATGCGCTTCTTGTCCCGGCGGTTCTTACTCTCGAGCTTCTTGACCCTCTCCGTGAGGTCGCGATTCTCTTGAATGGCAGTGTCGAGACGGGCACGGAGAGAGTCGGGGTTGGCGAGGCGGGGCTGCACCGGGCCGTTGGCCATCTCGGAAGCAACGGCGGCGCGGACATAGCCTTGCACGGCGGCCATCAAGTTCTGGGTGGCGGCAGCCAGCGGGTCGACTGGAGCGGCCATGATGCTGGGTCGGGTTCGGTACCTGTATGAGATGAGAAACTGGGTCTGGCACGGGTTCTGGCGGCATGGCGAAGATAGCTTACCTGAGTCGTGGTACCGAGAGGGTCTGAGCGAACGGAGCGATCGGGACGAGCAACGCTTTCACTGCGGAGTGAGTGCGATGAAAGGGACAGACATGAGACTGAGTAATTGTTTGCTGCGATGATGTCAAGAGAGGCAGCAAATGGATGTGGAGTGAATGAGGCGAGGGGTCGCTTGGGTGTGGAGGCGGCGGCGGCGCGTCGTCGTGGGCGGCCGAGGGAGCGAAAAAAGAGCGATCGTGGCAGAAGGCAGTTGAATTGGAGGCAGGAAGTGTGTCAGATCCGCTCAGATTTCGGGGGAGGCGACGACCGACGAGCGTCTCCTGCCTTCCTGCCTTGAAGGTCGGCGAGCGGAGGAGGAGGCAGCACCGCTTGAGGACGAGGTGAAGTTGAAAAAAGATGGGGGCCTCAGGCTGGAAAGTGCCGTTGATTGATTGTGTGCGCGTTTGCTTTCCTCCAACCTGAGTGACTGATTGACTGCAGCGACTGACAGATACCCTTACCTCAGTTTGGTTGGTGCCGGTACCACGTTTGTGTGGTGTGTCCCGGCGTGTGAGGTGTGTGTGTCCAGTTGTGTGTAAAGTGCAGACCGACCTGACTGGGCTGGCTGGCAAGCTGGAAGGGAACCTGGAGGGAAGCACACCGGTCGTGCAGCGTGCCTCCACGGGGCACCTTGGCAAGCTCCCCCCGCCATGTGGTGGACAGGGATCCCAGCGACGGCGGGAGCGATGCTAGCGCCCGGGGAAGGGGATGCTCGTCGTGCACGGGCCTTCAGTTCGGGTGATGTTGCTGCATTTGGGTCCTCTCCAGTGCCCCAGGGCATTGCCGACGAGTTTAAATTCAGTGAGGCGAGTGAGTGGCTGGTCTACTGCGTATTGTTGATTCATGTTTCGTGTTGTTGTCTGTTTTTATTATTGTCATTTGCATGTATGCCTCAATTGTTGGGTCACCAAAACGGGTTCTTATTGATCAAGCCGCGAAGCTTTAAGTTGCCTGCACCCAGACGGATATCGCACCCAAGTATGTAAGGTAGCTAAAGTACCTTCTACCAACAATTGGACACCATCTCACAGCTAAATGATGGCCATGTACAGGATTGAAAATCCTGGCCCCCTTAAAATGGCGTCTTATCTTTTCGTTTGAGATAAGAGCGCTGTACCGGTGAATGAGCGCGTCCGGCTCTTCACCGACCGGAGCCCAGCCAGTGACAAACGGCCAGCGATGTACCTACCCTTCCAGACCCATGTCGACGTGTGCTTGGAAGGAGCCCTGGGAGGGCTGCCAAAACACACCGGCAAACGGAGGAGCTGCTCCCCGCTAATAATGCCTGCAGCAAAGCGGCACAGGAGTCGCCAGGCAATAAGAACACGGGGACAAGACCGCTGCGACGTTTGTTGGCCCGTTGAGTATGGAGGTATCCATGGCTGGCTGCCCTGCCCTTACATAATCTCACTCATTCGCTATTCACATGCATTGGCGGCGGGCTGTCTGCCCTGGGCTGTCAACGCAAGATCTACGATGGAAACATAAACCTTATTTAATTACTCGACGAGGGTCAGCCAATGGCGCCGCGGAATACAGGTCGTGTAAGACTGGCTTACGAGGTAAGACAGACCAGACCTTCCCTCCGTCTCTGGACCATGTCGTCGGATTTTGGTTTTCGGGTCTCGTCAGCAATGTGACGTGTCGCTTGTTCAGAAACTGACAAACATGCAGGGACAGATCTGACATCCATGTCGATGATAGAAGTCAGAGCACATTTTGTCATCTGCAGCCCTGGAGAAGATTGGGGGGGGGGGGGGGGGGGGGGGGGTNAGTAAGGTAAGGGAGGGAGGGAGGGGGGGGGGGGGGGGGGGGGGGGGGGGGGGGGGGGGGGGGGGGGGGGGGGAGGTTCAGTTACACAAGCCCATAATCGGAGTCGGGTTCTATTCGCTTAATAATTCTAATTTTTCCCTATATTCACAAATGCGTCTAGCCTGTATCGAATGCGCGCTGATGTTTGCCACATACGACGAAAGGAAGGTATCAAAAGCAAACAATTCTGTGGACCCCCTCTTTTTCTACCAAGGGTTGGGCGCGACAACGGTGTAGTTTCTCCAGCCACCGTTGAGTCGCGCATGCTCGATGGCCTCTTCGTGCTGGTCCAGCGTGAACACGGCCAGCTCGGTACCGCTCTCCTTGCCGATGCGCAGCTGGCCGCCCTCAATCATCCTGATCAGCTGCTCGAGCGTACTGCGCTCGCACATCCACTTGCCCTGCAGCTTGAGGTTCATGATGCCGAAGGAGGCGTAGGGAATAGTCAGGGTCTCGCTGGCACCGCCGCTAAGAATGATCCTGCCCTCGCGCTTCAGCACGCGCAGAGCAGCGCCCAGGTACGGCGGGTTCTTGAGCTCGCCGGGGGTCCAGTCGTTGTAGATCTCGGCGCCGGTGCCGTTAGGGGTCGCGCTGCGGATGGCTGCGGCGTCGGCCTCCTCGTCGCCGGTCATGACGATGGTCTTGAGACGGGGATGGTCGTCGAGCTTCTTGCGCATGGCGGCGAGCTTGTTCTCGCTGCGGCCCAGCGCGATGACGTTGGCGCCGGCGGTGAGAGCGATCTCGACGGCCACACCGCCGAAGGAACCTCCTGAGGGGCCGATGATGACGGTCTCGGCCACCTTTACATCGGCGGCCTCGAGGAGAGCACCCGCGGCGACGGAGTAGTGCGCGATAGAATGCAGCTCCCCGTAGTCGTAGCCAAGTTCACCGCATAGACGCTTCTCATCGAGAACGTAGACGTTCTCGAGGGGCACCTTTTGGTACTGCTGCAGCGAACCATCACGCCACTCCTGGGTGAGCTTCTTGTCCTCGCCGTGGCCGCCAATGTGGCCGATCATGATCATCCTTCCGGGGTCGTCACGGCCACGGGTGGTGGCATCGATGTAGACGAGGTCACCTTCCTTGACCTTGACGGCGTCGGCGCCGACTTTGTGGACACGGCCGATGGCGTTGGGGTTGGGCACGTAAGGGGGAGGGAGAGAGACATGCTGGAGCTTGCCGGAGTGGAAGAGGTGGGTGTAGGGAACGATGGGAGCAGCAAGGATCTTGACAACTACTGTGCCGGTGGGAGCATCTGGGATAGGGAGGTCGATGATCTGGGCGGGCTCCTCGTAGGATGCGATCCAGAGGGCTCTGTTGCCGTTTGAGGAGCTCATTTTGCTGGGTATAGGTAGAGATATTCGTGAGGTTTGAAGTAAAAGTTGATTGGAATGTCAAATTCATCGTAAA